TTAATTAAACTAGCAATTATTAAGCACCTAGAATGAGATTAGCACAGTGCTAGGTGCTGGAGACATAAAAAGAAAAATGAAACAGACTCTACCATTACAGGGACTGCATTCTATCAAAGGAGGCTGGTTCATAATACAAGCATACCGTGAAACAACTTTACAGAAGCCTAAGTATCATGTGTCTATATCATTCCCCTAATGTTCAAATAAAGTTACCTTGTCAAAATAAAGAAAATTATTTTGGTTCTACATGACTCATTCTTGATGAACCGTGTTGGATTTTAATGAACACTGTTTCCTATCTTAAGTACTCATGTGTCATTTGCTTAATAATGGGTTATAGAAATCAAGGTCATGGGTCTATGGTTTATAACATACATCCTATTCCCCTTCTTGAAAATTAAGACAACTTTTACTCTTCTCTAATCAGAAGATAATCTTAGAACTGGAAAGGACCTCAGAAGTCATCTAGTCCAACTCCCTCATTTTACAAATTTTACAAAAGAGCCTTAGGGCAAGTGACTTGCCCAAGGACACACACGCAGTAAACATCAGTGTTCCTTCTCCAGAGCCAGGGTTACTTCTAAATGTCAGTTCTGATGGCTCAGCAATCACAGCTGCCAGTTTTCTTCTGCTTTGTATTTTAGGAAGTAGTTCATCTAGGCTTGCCTACTTAGCAAGGTCAGCTCTGTACTGCATGTTCATCTCATTGCTTTTCTTGGATTACTACTTGCTGCTAAACATTTTCATTCTATCACTCAGTTCAAAACCATTTTCCTTGAAAAATAAAGCAGAAGAAAAATATTATGCAAGGTATACCTTCCCTCTCTCATGTCTCTTATCTCCCAATAAATCATTATCTTTGTATTCAAAGAATCATGGATTTGTCAAGCTATTCCCTGGCATGCAGAGGCCCAGTACCAGAAATAAAGAGACTGTCTTTAGGGAGGGCAGAACTAGGGTTTTAGAATCATAACCCCATAATAGAAGGTCAGATCTTTCTCTAGACTTGGCTATGTAATCTTCTGGATTCCTTTTTTATGCATCTAGTGTAATGGGCATCTGTCAGCTAAAGATAGTATGGCATAGTGATAAGAGAACTGAACTGAGGAATAAAGACCCCTGGTTCCTAGTCCCAGTTCTGAGTTGCTAATGCTTAGCAAGTCCATTAGCCTCTTTGTGTCCTGATTTGTTAATCTATAAAATGGGAGTATTATCTCCTTTATTGCTCAATGTGTTTTGTAAAAATTGAATGTGACAATATAAATAAAAGTTCTTTGACAGTCTACAAATGATGTAGCTTCATGAATAGAGTTTTACACTTGAAGTAAGGAAAATTTGGGTTCAAATCCTGCTTTTTACTCAAATCCTTAGAAAGCTTTCTGATGGTCATTTATAAATGTAACCAATGAGGGCGGCTAGGTGAAACAGTGGGTAGAGCTTTGGCCGTGGAGTCAGGAGGACCTGAGTTCAAATATGGCCTCAGACACTTGACACTTACTAGCTGTGTGACCCTGGGCAAGTCACTTAACCCTGATTGCCTCACCAAAAAGCAAAAAAAAAAAAAAATCACCAATGGCATAAAAAATAACTGAATTTTCACCTAGCTTTGAAAAATTGTTTCTTCTTGCTTCCTTGACCTTTAAAACAATAGAGTTCAACTATTTTTATGAAATTACAGTTCTTCATTAATTTATTAAATCATGTAAATATGACATATCCAAGAATAAAATATCAAAAGGAATAAATCCACTAAGTGCTGATGATGTGCTTGACACTCTGCTAAGCACTTGGGATACCCAAAAAAAAAAAAGTGCAATAGATAACACTCCCTTCCCTCAAGAAAATTCATTCTACCAGGGGAATGCAGCACATGTAAAAAATAAGTACAATGCAATGTGATTTGAGAAGAGAGAAAGCACTAGTAACCAGGAGAGTTCATTCATGGGAGACTTCAAAAAAAGCAGCCACTAGAGTTGAGACTCAAGGAAGATAAGGATTCTGAGAAACTAAGATAAAGTGGCCAAGGGGGAAGTACATTTTAAGTAAAAAGAATAGCCCATATGCATATATGGAGGATGGAGCTTGAGTATTGAGTTTAGAAACACTGTGTAGATGGTCCAGTTTGACTGAAGCATATGATTTGTCAAAAGGGGGTCTTATTGAAGTAAGGGTAGAAAGAAGCCAGATTTTGAAGCCTTCCTTAAATGTCAAACAGAGGAGTTTATCCTAGAGGTTATGGAAAACCAATGAATTTTTTTGAGTAAAAGAATGACATGATCAGATATGTGCTTTAGGAAGATTATTTGACCAATATGTGGAAGATGAAATGGAGAAAGTCATTATTTGTTCACTATTAGGATAGTGAAGGCCTTAATCAGAGTGGCAACTATGTAGGGAAAGAAAGGAACACGAACACAAGATATGTTGTGGAGGCAACTGTGGATGTGGGGTAAGGGAGAGAGAAACACCCAGGGTGTCTCTGAAGTTGACAACCTGGGTGACAAGGAAAATCACCATGCCTTCAAGATAAATAGGGAAGTTTGGAAATAACATAGGTAAAACATGCTATGGGGATTTGGAAGGGCTTCATGAAGCTGTGAAACTGAGTCATAAAGAATATGATTTAGTAGGGAAGACAATCAGTTCTATCTGGGGAGTGTTGGCTTAAGATAATGAAAAAATATCCAAAAAGTATCCAGGGTTCAGTTAAAAATGGTGAGGGGGGAGGACATCTAGAATTCAGGACAAATAATAGGGTAAAATGTATGAGTGTGGAAATCATCTGACTACAGATGATATTTAAACCCATGGGTAGTGATGAAATCACCAAGGAAGAGAACATTTATTATCAGTCTTGTTTTGATTCATTATCTTCAAATCCAGAATTCATTATCTATCTTGACCCTACTGTAGTCAGAAATCTGCCAAGATTTCTAACTATTCTAGCCTAATTTTGTGGAATCATAAATTTTTCATTGTTTGAGCAGCAATTTGGCTTACTTGAATGTAGCTGAAGATGCTATCACACATGACCTTCTCACTCTTCTGCACAAAGTTCATATTTTCTTGATTATCTTTTACCCTTTGAAATGGGATGTAGATTATTGTGAAGGACATTTCATACTGTGTTTAAAACTAACACTTTTTTTATAGACAACCATAAAAGCATGGAACCAAAGATATATAATGTAAGAGCTAGCATCCTTAACTTTTCCTAGTTAATGATATCACTATAATATTTTTTTAAAATTTTTTCATTGATATATTTGTTTTTATATAACCTTCACTTCTGAATATACATTTTCTTCCTCCGGTCTCCAATGAATGAAACATTGGAACAAAGAATGAAAAAGAAAGAGGAAATTTAAAGAGCAGTTCAACAAAATAAACCCACACATCAACTCAATTAGATAGTATGTGCAGTGTTGCACAACAATAGCACCCCCCCCCCCCGCACACACATACACACCTTTGCAAAGAAAGAGGGAAGTGAATTTTTGCATCTCTTCTCTGGCACTAAGATATTATCACTCTGTTTCCACAAACTCAGACTCCTTGCTTTCTGACATGAAGCATGGTATCTCCCTGTGCTACAAGAAAGATGAGATGCAACTCCCGTGATTTTAGCTTTTCATACTTGCAGGGAAAAAGAAAAAAAAGTTGGTTTTTGAGTGTGTCTGTTTCTTTGCTTGTTTTAGGTTTGTTTGTTTGTTTTGTTGGACATGGAATCATGTTAACCGTCAGATTCACAGTTCTTTTGTTATTTTTTACCCCCCCAAAAGTCCAATTTATTTAAATAAATCAATGTGTTAATGAAAGGGGGCATGATGAAATTACTACAACAAATGACATTTTAAATGGCAGGTTCAAATACATAATTAAGAAAGTTCCAAGTTCTATTACATGGACATTCCTGCTTAATGGTTTTGGAGGACATGTTTCTTTTGTAGCTGAGGTCCTTTAGAGAAAGATATGACTTGAAAACTTTTAGTGAGTCTTGTTTCCTGAGATTCAGGATATACCATAATATATCTTGTTTTTGTGTTTTTGTATTTCTTTCTGACTCCTTCCATTGCAACCATTTTATCTTTAAGGCTAAAAACCACTTTATCTTTCCTAAGGCAGAGCCTTATAGGATGTCAAAATCCTGCCATGTTGAGCTTCTCAGAGTGAAGGCAAAGGCCAAATCGCTAGGTATAGTTATGAGAGGGGTTTAATTTTCATTTCTTTTGGTCTTTGTTTCTGTACCTTCTGTGTATACAGTAAGATGAGTTCATAACTCAAGTGTAGTGATTTTAATCAAGATGGAAGGCTTTGAACTAATTTAAGCAACCTCATCAGTTCATGTTTGGGGAATTGGCTGGTTCGAAATGTCTTCCAAAATAAATGAAAAGCTATATACCTGGCAATAATGACCTAGTGTAGAATACAGCTAGGAAATTAATCACTGACTGGGGTTAAAAACAACTTCACCAAGGACCATCAGCCCCTCCTAGTTAGGCATTAATCCACTTGAAAGGTCCTACCCTTCATTCATTATTCCTTAGATATTTTCTGCAATGTTATAATGATGCAACACGACGGAACATCAATATCTTGTGCTTTATGATACTATTCTGAACCCAATGACTGTTTTTTAAGTAGAATTCATATACTCTTGGCAGATTATAAATTATATGTGCTTTATAGACGGATTCTTAAGGAAGAGAAGGAAGTAAATTGTGAGTACATGGGGTCAAGTAGCTTCTTTTTGGAAGCATCAAATAAGTAGGCTATTCCTCATAAGCCATGACCTCTGATTTATATCACAGAGTAGTTTGTGTGGCACACAAATTTCTCCCACTTAATAGTGCAATTTGGTCTTTTCCTCTCACAGATCAGTGTTTCCCACTCTATTTTAGAAGTTTTAGTCATACAAGTTACCTGATTGGCATAGTAGAATTTGGCCGCCATGCCTACCAAACCTGCCAAGCCTACCTATTTCTGTCTTCTTCCAGAGCCACCGATAGGACAGATGCACCCCCCACATGGCAGTGTCACTCCTCAGAAGAACAGCAACTTGCTTGTGATCGTCGTTGTCACTGTTGGGGTCATCACAGTATTGGTGGTGGTGATTGTAGCTGTGATATGCACCAGACGCTCTTCAGCCCAGCAAAGAAAGTAGGTGAAAGCTGGAAAACAGGATGGGGAGGGAGCTCAATGGACTGACCCTTCTGCTATCTAATCACATTCTGTTTTTTAACAACATACTTGCAAAACAAATTCGTTGTCCTCATGATAACAACTGGCATTCATAGAGCACTTTAGCTTTTGCAAAATGTTTTCCATGTATTATGTAATTTAATCCTCACAAAAAATCCTCTGAGAGAGATCCTATTTTTATTGTCATTTAATGAATAGGAACTTCAGTCAAATAACTAGTAAGTGCTTTAGGCAGGATTTGAAATCAGGTCTTCCTGAATGCAAATGGAGTTATCTATCCCCTGTAGCACACAGCTACTTCCTATGCTAACGTATCATACACTCATCTCACTCTGAGTACCTGGCCACGAGGATCATTTTTCATTCTTCATTCCAAACAAAGAATCTCCAATGTAATTAAACAAAGTCATGCATATATAATATTAGAATCTTCTTAAAGAGACACTCAATTTCTGGTAGTTTTGCCCTCTTTGAGATAGTTCCCTAGCATGTAAGAAAGGCTATATCATCGTGAAGGGTCATCAAGTTGAACTGGCCGTCCCTTGATTTTTCTCTACCCTGTTGTATAGTCCAAAGTGGCCTCCAGCTAGACTACTAAATCTTCTTAGGTAGAATATTTTGTCCAGACCTACAATTTCATTGATGTAGGAAATTCCCAGCAAGAGAATTCCCTTTACCAAAGCAGATTTAGCAATTGCTTTGCAACTGATAGATCTTAAATCTAGAGTTGGACAAGACCTCAGAGGTCTTCTAGTCCTACTTCCTCCTTTTACTGATGAAAAAAAACAGAGGCGGAGGAAGGTTTGCCCAAGATCAGAGTGGCAATAAGCATTAGAAGTAGGATTTGAATCCAGGCCAGGCCCACTGACTCCAGAGCCAATAATCTTTCCACTGTAATGTGCTGTTTCAGAAAGTTGACTGAAACACTAAGATGATTATTATTTTGTCCAAGGTGAAACAGTATATGTTAGAATCAGGAAGTACACTCACAATGTCCTCACTCTAAAGTCAGCTCACAGTACACTATACAGCACTTCCTCTCTTAAGATAATACAGATATTAAATTATATTGTGAAGAAGTCCAGTTATTTTTTTTTCCAAAATTGAAGGGATTCAGTCCTGGCTGATTGACTTGAGATGAACTTTGGGTGATACATGGGGAAATCATATACAAAGAAGCTAAAAATTGTTATATCCATATTTTTGTATAGATATCCATCTTATAGACAGTCAATGAATCTGATAAAATATACCTGTCCTCAAGATTAGGCATGGAAAAGAACACAGAATGCCTTCTCCTCTATGATGACTTGACACCTTTGCCAGGAAAATTGACTAATGTACTTATTTGTTTCTCTCCTTCATTCCATCCTTTTTCCTCATAATATGTCTCATAATATGTGGTAACAATGAAGTTGCTTGAATTTAGTGGTCTGCATATTAATTTTAAAAATAAGTCTATACTTCTTGCAGCATGATATTCTCATCCTAGATGTTTTGCTACATATCTGCAGATGACTTTAAGAGGGTCTTTTATTTGATGTAAATAGAAAATTTTGAGTTGATATTTCGAATTTATCATCACTTTGGGTCAGTTCAATAAATATAGCATGGACTGATCCTTTATGCTACTACTTCTCAAGAATCTTGGCAGTTTCTAATTTAGTTCCAGCTAAGTGGCACCCTATACATTGTGCCACTTAGCTGGAACTAAATTTGTCTCAGTTTCCTGATCTATAAAACAAGCTGGAGAAGGAAATAGTGAACCACTCCAGCATCTCTGTCAAGAAAACCCCAAATGGGGTCACCAAGAGGTGGGCATGATTGAAAATGACCAACAACAGCCATTTCTCTCATTATTCATCTTGTTATTACATTCCACGTTATTTCAATTTTCTTCAACGCATATTTATTCAGTACCTACTCTGAGTAAGCCACTGAACTAGGGGATAAAGGGAACAAAAGCATAAGTGATAAATGGACTCTCCTCACATAAATCTTAAAGTCTAGCTAGGGAGATGAGGTATAATTAAGGTATAAATAAATAAGTTTAAAATGACACTGAAATGAACAAAATATCTAGTATTATGTATGGCAATTCAGTGAAATGTGTTGAAAACATAACTGTTTAAGTTATTTGAAGAGCATGAATTGGAGGTTGAAGCTGGAAAGAGGAAAATTGAAGCTTTATTTCAGGAAAAGTTCTAAGAATTAGAACTATCCAAAGGCAGATTGGACTGCCTGAAGAGATGTGCTCAACATCAGTAAAGGTCTTCAAGTAGGAGATGAACCAACCACTACTTTAGTATAGTATTGGGGGAGTTTCTTTTGGTATAGGTTAGAATAGATGGCTATTGTCATCCTTTGCAATTCTAAAATTCAATGATAAGTATATTTAAATGGGTAGTGAGATAAATTCATAACAGGAGGAAGAAACAAAGTGCTATTAGAGTTCAGGGAAAAGAAGATAGCTTCCAGCTAGATATATTCAGGAAGGCTGTGGATGGTAGACAGAATTGGATGGGTGGGGCATCAAGGTGGTGCAGTGGCCCTGGAGCATAGGCCCTGGAGTCAGGAGGACCTGAGTTCAAATCGGGCCTCTGACACTTTACACCTCCTAGCTGTGTGACTCTGGGCAAGTCACTTAACACTGATTGCCTCATACACACACACACACAACACACACACACACACACACACACACACAGAGAAAGAAATGGATGGACAGTGTTTCTGATTAGAGATAGGAGCATACTCAACTCCAAATAATAGGTAGAAAGGTATGGAGACAGGAAAGCTTAAGATGTAGTTAGGGAATGTGGTCTGATTTGCCTAAATGTAGGATAAGTAGAGGACAATAGTGTTAATACAGCTGAAAACGTACATTAATCAAGCTATGTTTTTCATCCATTATCTGAGAAAGGAGTGGACATAAATTAGCTATCAACAAGAGTAACTAGACAGGTGGTTGTCAAGGAGAAGGAAACAGTATAGAAGTAAGAATAGGCCAGCATGTTATTAATTTTTGGCAAGGTAAAAAGTAAGGATTGTGCTAGTTTGAGTCCTTTTCCTCAGATGTGTCTATTCTTGACTTCTTGATATGACACATACCTTATGTGGTTTCCAGATGGTAATTAAATTCTTCTCCAGTCTCTGTCAGAAACAACATTTGTAGGGAACCTCTATTTGCATTTCAGCCTTGGCAAGAACCACTAACTGTAAATCAAAGGCAACTAAGCCATCTAATTTCATCTCCAGAGAAGGTCAGAAGCCAATATAAATAAATAAGGTTTTATTCAAAAGACTCTAGTGAATAAGCTACAAACAAGACAACAAGGCACAGCAAACAGGCACTTTCCCACAACAATTATCCGTAAGATTTATCAATGAGAATGACAAAGGGTTGAAGATTTCACTTCCAGCAAATATGAAAGGCAAGAAAAAATTTTGCAGTGAATTATTAACTATAATGCATGGTTGCATTTTTCAAATACCAAATAATAAGTATGCAGATGTAAGGTTAGGTAAGTTGAGCCAATCAGTCAATCACCCAGTACCCTATAAGCTCTGATACCTAATAAAGACTCAATCAATCTCTTATACTCATATATGGGAGCCTTATCTGAGATAAATATTGGGCCCTTAGTATTTGTGAGGACTCACTAGAAAGATTCTCCATACATTGGGTATCCTAGAATTCAGGAGTTTTTTCTTTTTCTCTGTTTTAGACTGAAATTGTAAAGTAGGCAATTTTTCAGGTATGTTGCCTTAAATATCAGACCACTTTCTTTGTCATAACTTTTCTTTGAATGTTTACTTACTATTATCTAGTGTATGATTGTACCTATTATGAGTATTGAGGCTAAGAGCTGTATGAGTTGTGTATATGTGACATTCAGGTGCCTAAATTTTCCTAGAATATACTGATAGTTCATAAAAATTCATTTTTTTCCCTTTTTACTTTTAAGCACTCTTAAAATGTTTGCATTATTTGTGTCATGAATCCAGACAGAATGTTTAAATTTTTACTAACATCATAGGAAAACAGGCCTAGAAACCCTGAGTAATCAACCCTAAACACTTTATCATTTTGGGGAACCCCATATCAATTATATTTTTAAGTGAACCTGCTTGTCCTGGTGAGGGGGTGAATTAGAAACTACATTTGAATTGCCCTTGTAGTGGCAGAGATCCATCAGTGGAAATTCTGGACACCCTTTGTTATAGAGACCCAAAAGAAATTTTCCTATACCTCCAAGAAGATCATATATGACACAAGGACACCTGGAGAAATTTTGCTGTGCCCTTTATACAGTGGGACACCTAGAAATTTTGTCAAGACCATAGTTGGATGGCTTTATGCTCTCAGGAAATCAAGGAAAAGTTTTCGCCCAGAATAGGTTAATTTGAAAAGTGAGGAAATGAATTCAAGTTGACCCTAAATCCTCTCCCTCCAGGAGAATCCTACATGCTCTATAATCACTCTAAGGGACTAGGCTTTCCCTCTTAGAAGTTAGGCTTGATTTTCTTTTTTCTTGTCTTTATTATTTTAGATTGGGAAAGGCCTTCCAGGCCACAAGAGAGATGTTAATCTATGAGAACTTTGTGAAATGTTATTTGGCTGTTGTAGCCCCATGTATTTGGTCAAATGGATAAATGTTAATGACTAGATTAGAATTTTTTTTTCAAAGTGTCACATAGACGTTTCTTGAGATATTTTAGTACAAGGCACTGGTACAAACTCTCAGAAAAGAATGTAGAAATTCTAGGATTTTAGACTAGGGATTTTGCCAACATGCTGTAATAGATTCCCCAAGGACAACAAGTATTAGAATCACCCTTCCCGAATAGCAACACATTCCCTTGTTAGTGAGGCAGTGCGATGGAGTGGGAAAACACTGAACCTGTAGTCAGAAGTTATAGGTTTAGTTCAAAAACTAACAAGCTGTTTAAAAATG